AAGAAAGTCAGAGAAACATTTAAATATTTTCAGAAAGCCCTAGATCGGAGAAGAAATGGTTTTGAAAGTAATTTTTGAAAGAAAAGCCAGAGAAATCGTTTGAAAACTCAGGAAAAGCACAGATACACAACAGATCTAAAGGAATCGGAGAAAACCTCGAAGGGTTAGGGTTTCAGAAGAACCCTAGAAATGAGAAAGGCTTTGAAAAGTCACTGATCCGAGTCGGAGAGGTCAGAATCAGGCTCAAACAACCATGGTACGCCAGAGCAAAGCCGGAGATGACCATGAAACTTCGAATCGACAGAGGTCTGGATACGACCCTTCATGGTCATGCCTTGAATCTTCAGAAATCAGGCACGTGGGAGCCATAGGAGGCCGGTGTAGGGTTCCCATAGCCTTGGAAGCCATGGATTCTGATGGTTTCCAGGGTGGAAGTGGTGGGAGGTGGCTAAGGTTTGAGAAGGTTCCAGAGAGTTTGAGAGAATGGGTGGGGGGGTTCAGAGGCAGCTTGGTAGGTGGAAAATGATTTAGGTTTAAAGGGGGTTGGTAAATTAAAAAAGGAAAGGGAGAACGTGAGTCGTTGATCTGTTAGATCAACGGCTGGGATTTAAAGGAGGGTCGGGTGAGTTATTTTAATTTGGTCAGGGGCGGGTAATTTTAGGAATTGGGTTGGGGTTCAATTGGGTTTAATTGGGGTAGAATTTAGGCTAAAAAAATAAGTAGGGCTAGTATTTAAATAGCCACTTTTCCCTTATTTATTTTATAAAAATAGTAAAATAATTTTTGGAAATAAATTAAAGGTACTAAATTAATTAATAATATATAAATATTAAATTAAAAAAACTGGAATCAATTTTTTAATTATAAACGCAATTAAATCTAAAATAGGCTAATATTGCAATTATATGCAATTTAGCTTTAAAGTACTAAATAAATTTGTAAAAAATGTGCGAAAATAATATTAGCTATATTTTAGTATAAATATGAGAATTCAATAAATGAATTACCAAAATGCCAATTTTGGGAATACTTATTGGGTTTTTCTTGATAAAATAAGGCAATAAAATTGATTTTAAAAGACTTTAAAATTAAGAAAAAATAATAAAAATATTTGTAAATACTTATATATATGCATACATGTGCTATTTTGAAAGTATTTTGCATATAGAAATATACAAGGAAAAATTGGGTATCAACAATAGAGAACCTGATTCCCTATACTGGCTGGTTTTACAGTCTGTTGCTTACAGTGGGAACTTATAGAGAATCTAGTTCTCTATACAGTGGGAACTTATCCTATGTTTCATTTCCATATTTGTTCAGCAGTTAGCACTGTACCAAACTAATATAGGACCAGATCGCTATATAGTTTGGTTCATTAGTATTTTTAGTGAAAACGCATAGAGAACCCGGTTCTCTATACAGTCTGGTAGACGCTTAGTTTCTAACATAGTGATGACTAGTCTACTTCATCTGGAAGTGGATTAACTGGCACTTCATATGTCTTCTTGAAGTATTCCTTGGTGTAATAGGCAGAATAATATTTGGGTGCTTCCATGTGTGTGTAGTCCAATACTGCCATAGCATGTGGACAAGGAATCTCATCCACTTGAAATCGTTTGCACGAGCATTCTCTTTTTTGCATGCAGACTATGTTTCGCATTTGTTCAGCATCCATTACTACATATACATAATCGATTGAAGGCCTCACCTAAATTTAAATAGATATCATTAGTAAAACTACAACAGGAATATGAAAAGTATTAATGCATTTTTGTCAAAGTATATTATTCAGGCGTATGAAGTAAGAATATTTACTGTCATCTTCTGCGACAAATAGCTATTTTCCTTTAGTACTTCATTATATTTTTTCCTAGGCCAGTAAATGTACTCATTGCAATCATTCTATTTGTATTATTTCATTCCATAACCAAATTCATCATATAATTTAGCAAACTCATGATTGGTAGCTCTCTTGTCTCTTTATTTCTTGTATTGAGTGACTCTGCAATATTTGAAGTCATCACCATGGATCTATTAATAGTGGAATGCACTATGGACCATTTTTTATAACCAACTTGGAACAGGTAACCCCTTACCCTCTTATCAATGTTGTCCATATCTTGCATGAGGCGATTAAAATCTTCAATTTTGTATGCTCTGGCCATTGCAAAAAATACTTCCCTCAGTCGGTCATGGTTATTCTTGAACTGCTTCTTTATGTTATTCCAAAGATGAAAGATGCATACACAGTGAGATACCTCTAGATACACAATCGAAGCACCTCTCAATATGCTTGCATGACGATCAGATACGATGCACATCCTTTCCTTTTTCCCAAAAGCCTATCTAAACATTTCAAAAAAACCATTCAGGAAGCATCATTTTCAGAATCCACAACAGCATATGCTAGTGGAAAAATTTTACCTAGTTAAGCAAATAAGAAAGCATCCACATGTTATTTTTGTTATACACAGATAAGAACTATTTATACCATATATAATTATTATACGAGTTTGCAACATATTCACCTGCCGCGTCTTGTGCGCTAGCTGTTAACATTGTTCCTCTGTATGATGATTTGAGGAATATCCCATCAACCACTGCAATAGGGTAACATTATTTCCATCCTATGATTGATGCATTTAGTGCGACAAAAATATACATGAAGCGCCCGTCCTCTGATTTATGTAACATTGTGATAGAACCAGGATTTGTCATATTTATCATATACAAGTAACCCGGTAGTTTTCCATAAGATTCGCGTGGTATCCCTCTTAGCAGTTCAAGCGTCTTTTCTTTTGTTCTATAAGCTTTTACGTAACTCATATTAATCACATACTGTTGTTTCATGTCGCTCATGATGTCTGCCAGAGTGTATATTGTTTTTGGATTGGCATATTTGTTGCAAATCATTTCTGCAATGGCTGACGAAGTAGCATGACGTTGTGAAAATAGTCTACTCATCTCTGGGCAAGTGTGAACATCATTGAACCGTCTAACCTTGAAGACATTTGATTTGTGTAGACTTGAAGATCTAAGAATTCATTTGCAACTTTCATCCACGCATGTAAGACAATACCTATTTAAAATATAATGTTATGATAATGCATTCCTCCAAATTTTTACACTTGTGTTTCAAATAAACAAGCAACATACATATGCAATCTCACTATACAATAATTATACATTTTTATGCAAGCAGTATACATAAAATTACAGAGAAGTGCAATCTCATAAGTAGAAATCATACCTTGTTGTAAATGATCTATCCACTGTAAATTGATATTTTTCTAGTATTGCGTAGTGCTTTATTACACTAATGAGTGTATCTTTGTCCCAATACAACTGACTTCTGTAATTTTTTCATGTTGTGGATTGTCTATTATACAATTTCTCTTCAATATCTCAATTTTGTCTTCTTTTACATGATTATCCACCATCTCAACAATATTAGTTACATGTACTTCTTCCACGTTCTGACATTGTAAACCAGCTAAAGTTGTTGCGAGTAAGTTGTCATCCAAGTATGAACTTGAATATGAGCATTCAACACTTGAATACATAGTTTTCAATGTTATGTATAATGGATATTCAGTGATATACAAGTCTTTCTTTTTCATCTCCATATACAAGCGCACACTCATATCATTGTATATTGGAATTGCTACATAGCCATCCTTCACTGTATATTTTATCTCCATCGCACTTGTAATTGAATCTCTACCCAATCGCTTGTATATCTCATCAACAAAATACTCATAGCTACCGTCCGAATTGATCAAAACATCATTAACAAATTTACTTTCACTTACCCATTCACCACTATGTTGAAGTAAAATCGGAATCAAAATTGGAACAGTAGTTCCAACATTCACAATCTCCATAGACATTAGTTGAGTTTGTCGATTTTGTATCAATTTCACAATTTAATAACGAAATTTCAAATCTATTAAGCTGATTGTAGCAGCAATTGTGCAAAAACTTTGAATTTCAGCGTGAATTTTTTGCAGCTCTTCTCTGGGTTTAATCTTCAGAAACCCTAAAACAAATTTGACAATATGAATAATTGGACAACTTTTATAGTATTTGGAGGTTGAAGATCTCATACTAAACGCGTGAATTTAGGATACAAAATCAATTAGGAGTGCTTTCCTTTTCGTTTGCGTTGAGCGTATAGTTTCAACTTTTTCGGTTGCTAGCCTTTGTTATTATTTTTAGGTTATAACTTGTAAGGGATTATTTTGTGGCTATCAGGTGATATAAGTTTGGCCCCAGTGACTACAAATGAAGTTTGCTCATAATAACAGTCAATTTGCCTAGGGGAAACATCCCGCTGTGTGAAATGTTTAGTTATATATATGGTTTTGACCTTTATACTACTAAACCGGGGGCCATAAGAAACTTATTTTGTTATTTCGAAAACTGCCATGACTAGCAGAGGGCATTGCTGAACTCCTTAGCAAAGATTAAGGCCCCCTCTGTCCATAAAAATATTTCCTTTTCTTCAAAATTATTTTTTAAAAAATATGTTTGTTTATGAAATTTTGCAAGTTCTTAAAAAAAATTCAAAATGAGTTTTCCAAAAATTAAAAAGTGATTTTGACCGCTTCTTCAAAATTTTCAGAATTTTTTTTTTCCCCACTCACAAAACTACAACATTTTCTAAGTAAATACATGTCCAAACATAATTTCAAATTCCAAATACTATTTTTCAATTTAACCCTAAATACTACTTTTTTCAAAAATTCCAATTTTTATGTCCAAACACCTACTAAATTTTGCTGATGAGATCTAGTTTTATGGAGTTCTAAAGTGGTGAGACCTACAATCCAGAACATATTACGCTATAATACGTGCTCCCTCCGTTTCAATTTATGTGAACCTATTTCCTTTTTGGTCCGTGCCAAAAAGAATGACTCTTTTCCTTATTTGGAAATAATTTACCTTTATGCAATGATTTATAGCCACACAAAATATATGTGCCTCATTTTACACCACAAGTTTAAAAGTCTTCTCTCTTTTCTTAAACTCCGTGCCCAGTCAAATGGGTTCACATAAATTGAAACGGAGGGAGTATAATTTAACATCATATATACTTTTGTTCTTCGTCAGAAAGGCACGACCTCCCCTAGTCTTTACTTTTGCTGTTACTTGGACAATGGAAATCGAAAAGGCACTGATTGCAGCACCAGTGGAAGTCCATCACTCACTGCAAGATTAATAGTTGAGTCTCATCGGAAGATTGCGGCCTGAGAGGGGGGGAAGAGATGTTGCATTCGACGACGAAAGAGAACCCCCATCATGACTATGACTATGAATTTCAGCATTCACTATAACATCCATCCAATTTGAGCGCCCACAACAATCCTCCATAGCTCTCTAGCAAAATAACAAGCTGTAAATATATCCGGGAGGTTATTAAGTAAAAGCATATCTAGTCACAGTAGATTACATTTTACAGAATTTAAAAGAATAAAATTAAAAGTTAAGTTTGTACTAAAGTTCTTCTGGTGTCTTTGCAGTCATGGTAGAAAGGGAATTCATATAGCAATTGGATGGCGTAATCTCAAACCAATTCAGATCTGATTTCCACAGCCGATAAAGTTGAGCCATGATCGTCCTATAGTATCTTACTCGCACTATGCTTGCAGAGGCAGACCTACATGGTCACTAGAGGGGTCACCGGAACCCATTAACTTCAAACAAAACCGTGTATATATACTTGTATATACATCAAGGACCCCCTAAATAATTTTGATGTGCCCCCTCAAACACAAAAGTTTGATTGCTGGGCTGGTTTAACATGTTTTATTTTTTTTTCTCTTTGAATTCAAGGTAGTTTAGTTTTCTGTATTTAGAGCTCAATTTGGTTTTCTCTCTTCTTTTTTTTAATCTTTTCTGAGTTCAAAAATATTTTAGCACTAGTACATTTAGTGAATTTAGTTTAGCTTTGCTCCCTTCAAATCTCTCTCTCAAAAGCCTCAAACCAAGCTTCTCTCCACGATTAGATCTTTAGAGCTTCTATATAAAATAGTCAAAAACGTTTTTGAGAAACGTCTTTCTAGAATTTGAAAAAGGTAACAGAGAGAGAAATAAAAAGATTAAAGAAAATTGGAGAGAAATAAAATATTCCATTAGCAAGAAGCCAATTTATATTCTTTATCATGATAACTAAGTTTATAAGCATCATCATTTTCTTGACTTGTATTAAAATAAGTAATTCAACAAAATTCCCCCCAAAAAGAGCAATAGATTAACGAATATTTAATCTTGATTTTATTTGAGTAAGTTTTTGATATTTTAAAAGATATTTTTGATCACTGACTCATAATCATTAAATTTTCAAGGAGTTAGCACGCTAAATTTTATCGCTAGTAGCTTATATATCTATGTTAAAGACAGTGATGCCCCCGCTCTGCTCAAATCCTGGGTCCGCCTCTGTATGCTTGCACCACATAATCTGTATTCAACACAAAATTTAACTCTTACATTTGTTCTGTTTGAACCATACATACGAAATCATAATCTAAACTTTCCACAACTGCCAATCGCTACCAATAATGAAAGAACCCAGGAAGCATATAAAAATTCCAAAACATGTTACAACAAACATCCTCGGCTTCTAATGATGTCTCAAGGGAATATAAAACTTCTCTAAACATGGATAAGGCTCTAATTTACCCTTAACAAATTAACAAATTAAACAAAGTAAAAGATGCTACTGAACCTATTCAAACATCTAAAATTATTCAGTCCTCGTCATTTTCATTTCCTAGTTACTGGAGAAAAAGAAACAAATTCTAGCTACTAATAGTGATGCCTAATATACTTACAAAGGCAATGGAGGAGCGCAACCCACATGTAGGATTATCCAATTTTCACTTACAGGAGTTTGTACTCAAGCAGATTAACAACCATGGCTATCTACCTTTGCACTATCATTTCAAGCTCCGACTTATCTGAAGATATGGAAAATCTTACTTACCTAAGTAGCTTTGAGAATAACATTGTTTATGTCAACTACTAAAGACCTGTCATGCAATGTTAATCTTATCTGCGAAGTAGAAAAACTTTGCGAAATGTAAACGCATTGGTACAGAGCAGATTGGCACATTAGAAGAGCTTATTGCAGAATAAACACTGCAACAATATCAGCAACCCTATTTCAAACGAGAGATATTGCAATAAAAAGATGATACACACAACAAGAATAAATGACATACAGCAGGAAACACTTCTATTAATAAGCACCAACCTATAAGTTTGAGAAAGAACTCGCAAGTTGTTTAATTTGTGCTTCATCCCCATTCACCCAAGAGGAAATGAGATGATGAGCAATTGCAAAGGGCCCAGGAATAAACATAGGAGCAAGTTCCCCACTTTCCACATTGAAGTCGGAAGACAAGCTCTGTCCTCTTTCTACGCCCTTGCACATTTGGTCCACTTTACCTGCGGCAGTCCTTTGTGCCTTCTTGTATTCCGCAAATGTGAGCGCCTTTTTCACATCTTCTCTACTGTGCCATTTAGCATCTGGATCACAGGTTGATTCACCGTCATAAAAAAGAAAGAAAATGGCCATAATCAAAATATTAGGTGGAATCCACATATTAGAAGTCGAGGGGCCAATGATAAATTCTAGAGACCTACCATCTGAATTCTTTTCCAAGAGGCCCTGTTTTACCACATCCCCCCACCCATCCCACCCCACCCAACCCAAAAAGAAATGAGAAAGAGGGCTCTGTGGGAGAGGAATTTTCCTTCGAACCTTTGAGAAGAAAATCAATCATAATAAAAGATTTTTAAGTTACCTTCTAATTCAACCTTATCCACATTAATATCAAGCGATTTTGCATACGCAAAGAATCCCACCATAAGCTGGCACGGCATGCTGCTAGGTCCAACTGCAAAGGAACCATACAGTTCGTCCATAATCACAAAAGGAAAAGAAAAATGGCATGCAAGAAATATATAAATACACACATACACACAAAAAAAAAAAAAAAAAAAAAAAAAAAAAATTCACTAACAACTACTAGTGAGAAAAAGGAAACCTCTAAGGACCCATTTCATGAAGCAACTGATTGGCGCACAATCAGATCAACAATATTTAAAAGGAAAGGAAAGTTGATATGCATCTCCCGTTAACACATGCATCAATATCATCACACCTCCTCTAAGAAAGGGTATGGAAGAGATTAAGCCACTTTATTCATAGAGTGAAGCAGGAACAACTGATGGCAAGATCTTAAAGTGAATACGGCATGTATGGCGAGACCAGCCATTGGCTCGTCGCTGACAGCACCATGCAGAAAAGATTATAAACTAATAGCAACTTTTGTCAATTATAAAAAAAGGGTCCAATAAGACATGAAAATAACAACATTTGTGTATTGAATGTAGAATTTATCATCAGTACTAAATTCATACTCCCTCCGTCCTAGTTTATGTGAAGGTGTTTGACTGGCACGAAGTTTAAGAAATAAAGAAGACTTTTGAAACTTGAGGTCTAAAATAAACCATAGAAAAGTGTGCTAGAAATCATCACATTAAGGGTAAAAAGAGAATTTTAAAGTTGAATTGTTACTAAACATAGAAACGTGTCATTCTTTTTGGGACTAACTAAAAAGAAAAGAGTGTCACATAAATTGGGATGGAGGGAATATATGTTTTGCATTTTCTAAATTTTTCTTAAATTGTGTGATTCACTTCTCTCTTTTCGTTTCAAGCTCCACGGACCAGGTTGCTTTTTCTCTTAAGAATAACTGATTCCAGAATACTTTACATCATAAAAAGCAATGTGTTTAAGATTATATAAAATAAGAAGTGCCAAACAAATGCACGGGAACAGACACCGCACATCTGTTTCCAAGAACATTACCAGGCCATGGCTGAGAACTATGGTACACAACTTGTCCAACTTCAATACCAGTCTCCTCCCATGTTTCTCTTCTCACAGCCTCTTCCAAACTTTCTCCTGGCTAGTAACAAATTGAGAAAGTAATAAACATGTATTCAGAAAAATATTGTGAGTGACGGGATCGAAAATCAATGCCTGCTAATTACCTATTAAAAAGAAAAAAAAGGGGGAAAACAAACCAACCGGAAAAAAAAAAAGAGAAACTGAAGTACTATGCAGGAAATTGAAATACTCCCTCAATTCCATATTATATGACAATGTTTCCTTTTTGAGTTGTTCCAACAAATTGACACAATTTCTTTTTTAAGATAAGACATTGTCATTTGTAGACCGCAAGATACTAAGATATTTTGGCTACGATACATATATTTAGCATGTGTCAAAAGTCTTGCCTTTTTTTACTTGAACTCGGTACCCTGTCAAACATCATCATATGAGATGAAATAGAAGAAGTTAATAAAAATTGACCAAGGGCTAAAAATAAATAACTAATATCAGGAATGAGGTTCTAGTGGCTAAAATTTCTTTTTCACCATGGACGACATCCATGGGGATCAAAACTTATGAATGCTACCTTTTACTCAGGAATGAGGTTCTAGTGGCTAAAATTTCTTTTTCACCATGGACAACATCCATGGGGATCAAAACTTATGAATGCTACCTTTTACTAAATTAAGTAATTGCATAAATGAGTAAGACAAACTATGGACAGCTTGAAAATGCATGGCATGCATACTTCTGCTGCTCTAGGCCTTAAAATCAAAAGTACACGACATACCTCCATGAAACCAGCTAGACAACTCCACATGCGAGGTACAAATCTTGACTGCCTACTTAATAGCACTCGGTCATTCTCTTTGTCAATAACTAACATAATGACAACCTGTTGCAAGAGCAAGATGCCAAAAGAAAGTTAGGATTCTCATGTAGCATTTCAATATGTAAGTCCCATAACCTCTTCCAAAAAAACAAAGAAAAACAAGTAAACCAAACAAGAGTGCAATCACAAGCAACATAATTAATCAGAGAGAAGAAAATGATTGACATACTGGATCAACTCGAGGATAAATTTTCTTCTTGCACAACTCATTAGAGCATTGTTTCCGTCTCCCAGCATCAATTAAATTGTTCTTACCTCCACAAAATCCACAAAAACGTGATACCGTATGCCATTCTAGCAATGATCTGGCCTGGTAAAATGCCAAAGCCGAAAAAGTAAAATATAGCATCAGTCAAACATGGTCACCAATTTTTAGCATAAGTATACTAATAACTAACAACTAAAGAAGAATGTTACAGTACTCAATATTTGGATATGCACAGCGCAACAATGTGGCAACTGTAACCCGAATTCATTTGCCATTTATCAGAAGGAAAAAAAACTGATGCTAGATGGTATTATCAGGACTCTTGGACTCGTCACACCATGTCTGCACTGCCTGAAACAACCAACCCTTAGAGCACTCTAAATATGACTTTGGTAAAGAAGCACCTATTTGGCAATAGATTTTGGCTTTATTTTTTCAAAAACAAATTGAAAACATTGTTTGTTTATGAAATATGATCATGTTTTGGGGGAAAAGGTTTCAAAATTTACAAGCAAAATTTTTCTTCCACTCACAAAACTTGAACTTTTCTTCAAATAAAATGCATGTCCAAACACAACATTAACTTTCAAAAGTTATTTTTCAACACAACTTTAAAAATTCTTTTTTCAAGTTTCAATCAAATCTATGTCCAAATGCTAGCTTAAGATACTAAAGTTCATAGGGATTAGGGGGGTTATCCCAGTATAAAATTTGGGAACAAATTTGTCTAGTGTTTGATTATGGGTATTGGCTAAAACCAGGATAAATTTATGCCAAAATCTTGGGAATATCCATCCCATATAGGAGGTTCGATTATAATCCAGGATAACCTTGTCTTGAACCAAACGACCCCTAAAGTTTGAAATGCACATATACAATGTGACATTAACTGCATAACCAGGTTTGCAGTTCTAGAGAGAGATTACTTAAGATCATTTTAGAAGCCGTTCTAAGCCTAGTTACCACATCTTTTGCGCCTGCAAGAATCGACATATCTAAAGATAGATAAAATGAGCTACCTGAAAAAGATACGTGGCTTTAAAATAACAGCAGGCAGTGGCTAGTTTATGAAACTGCTTTAACTACCTTAATATGCCTAGTTAATTCAGATACCTACTAATCACAATGCAGGCCACTAGAACAGCTGTAGGTTATCCAATTCAACAAGACATGATAAAAGATAGATTTTGTTGAAATTGTAATGAAAAGGCTGAAGTGAAAAGGGAATACATACATGACCAGCAATAGCAAGTTGAGCCATGGCAGAAGCATTTTCCCAATCAGAGGCAACCATGAGAGTTCTGAGCTCAACAAAGCAAAATTGTTTAGCACCCAATTCATTTACCAATCGACTACCACCCTCTGTGACATCAATAGCCCAGTACACAACATAAACATCATCACCCTCACCCTCAGAATCCGAACCCAAGTAAACCAAAGAATCTTCACTCAATTTAACCTCAGAAGAATTCTCCAAGAATGCCTTACAATCGTTAAAACTCAACCAAGCCAAGTGCCAATTAGGCTCAGTTGAATTCTTGAGTGAGCCAGCTAAAGGCCTTCCCTTTCTAAAAGGCAAGATCTTGAAATTAGGGGAAGTGGGTGAAGCGTTATCTGTATGACCTTTTAAAAGAAGGGTTTTAAGGGTGTGAAGAGCAGAGGCTGGTGAAAATGGATCACTTGGTTTAGGGGTTTTTAGCTTAATGGGGTTGCCTGCAAAGGCATGAGTCTTGAACAAATTCATGGACAAGTGTGGGTGACTGTGTAGTAATCTTGGGTTTTTGGAGAGGGAGACAAGTTGGGAAGAATTTGAGAAGGAAAGCCGAAAGATCATTGCTTCAACTACCTATCAATATCATTGGTGTTTCCTCAACAAAGGAAGATTCGGTGGTGAGTCGATGAGGTTGGTGTATGACATCTGTACTTTTGGCTCCTCCTATTGTGTCCCCTGCGCCACCACGTTGTCTTGTACTTCGCCACAATTTCATTTGTACACCTTGGACTCTTTCCCGCTAGGTGCTTTTCTTGTAGTACTATTTATTTTTGGTGCGTACTCATATTGGATTGATTAATTCGAATTTCACATTATTGTATTAATTTTTTAAGCTTAAACTCAAAATTTCTAATTAAAGGTGAAGAAATCTCGATGAATCTTTTATTCGGTATTTGCTGTGAGGCTTTTTTCTTATACTTTCAAAGTATGAGTAATACCTCATTAATTACTTCAAAAACTGTGTATTCTCTTCTTTGTGATTTTTATGTATTTCTCACCTCTCTAACATAGAGTTGCTAAACTAAAACACCCATCACACTTTTAGTTTATTGGGTATTTGTCACGACTCAAAACCTAACCATGATCGTGATGGCGTTTATCGTGTTATAAGACAAACCTATTTCCTAAAATATTACTACTAATTTGATTATTAAAATTTAATAAAATATTTCACATTTAAATTTTTCATAAACTATAACAACTCTAAATATAACATAGAAAAATACGGAAACGAACCCCAAACATCAGAGTGTCACTAAGTCATGAGCGTCTAAAACTATAAACTAAGATATATAAACTGTCTAACTGTCCAAAAGAAGAAATGACAAGAGGAGTAACAAGGTCCTGCGGACACTAACAACTAACTTGCAATCTCCACAGATAGCCAGCCTGAACTCAACGATCGCCGCGCTCTAACTCACCTGGATCTGCACATAAAGTGCAGGGTGTAGTATGATTACAACCACTTCAGTAGTAACAGAAATAACTAAGAAACTGAGCAGTAGTGACGAGCTAAGCAAAACAGTCCAATTATTTATTTTCCATAATTTTAAAAATAACAGGAATAAACAAGTAAATTCCATAACTCAGTAAATGCCACAAAGAAATTTAACAGATAAATGCAGCAACAACAAAAGTAAATGCAACCTCACAACAATGTCACTCCATCACACATCGCTCGTACTCAGCACTCAACACTCAACACTCTGCGCTCACTAGGGGTGTGTACAAACTCCGTAAGGGCTCCCAAAGCCCAAGCGCTAAGCACGGACAACTCATGTGCCATCATATCAATACCCAGATCCGCACGATCAGCTCACGTGCTACGCGGATAGCTCACGCGCTATAGTATTAATATCCTCACAACCAGGCCCTCAGCCTCACTCAATCATGTACCGCACGGACAACTCACGTTCCATCATATCAATACCTCGATCCGCACGGTCAACTCATGTGCGACGCGGACAACTCACGCACTATGGTATCAATACCTGGACCTGCACGGTCAACTCACATGCTATGCGGACAACTCACGCGCTATGGTATTAATATCCTCACAACCAAGCCCTCGGCCTCACTTAGTCATGTACCTCTCCAACCTCACAATGCACCACTAATAAGGGGACACAACCAACATCAAGTATCACAACATATCAGCAAAATAATAGAGACTGAGGTAAACATGTACAATAATTTCTATGACTGAGTACAAATAATGTGAGCATGAATAAAGCCTAAGCATGATCTCTAACATGAAGGTAGACAAGTTCAACAACAAGTAACTACGTAAACACAGATGATGGCCATGAGGCCTCACCGGACGGACCAAGTCTACATCCCTCGAGGTATACACCCACACACCCATCACCTAGCGTGGGTATCACCTCCAAACAGTCACACGATATCAAATTCTCCAGGTTTATACCCTCAAAGCCAGAGTTAAAACTGTTGCATACCTCAACCGCATAAAATCCTACTCCGGGATGCCCTCGTCTCTGGACTCGGTCTCCAAAAGCTCCGAATCTAATCATAATCAGATTAATACCATCACCATATGCTAAAGAATCGAATTCCACAATAAAAACTACAAAATATGCCAAAAATTTGAAATCGGCCAAAATTCGGCCCCCGGGCCCATGTCTCGGAATTAGTCAAAAATGGCAGAATCATAAACCTCGTTCTCTCCCAAGTCTAACCATATAAAATTTATCAAAATCGGACTCCGTTTGGTCCCTCAAATCCTCACTTAAAACTCTCCAAAACTCAAACCCTAACTCCCTCAATTTCACTTTGAAATCATCAATCAAATCCCAAAAACGATGATGGATTCATGTATAACCAAAACCAAGTAGAGAACACTTATCCCAATCCATATTGTGAAAATCGCCTCCAAAAACGCCCAAATTCGAGCTCCCCAGCTCAAAATATGACCAAATGAACAAACCCTTATTTTATAGGAGTATATTTTTTTGCCAGCTATTCTGCCTTGTTTCTCATTCCAAACGATCTCGAAAGTCGTTTTTATGCCTCCAATAGATTTTTGTGAAATTCTAGTCAAGTTAGGCTTTTGAATCACTCAATTTGACCTTATAATGAATGAGATATGTTGGTGTCAATATTTGCAAATAGTGTAGATTTTTAAATACGTCATCAGTGGCAATTTCGTAATTAATCTGAAAAATCTAGCAACCTAATTCTTAGTAAAATAACCATAAAATTCTCATACAATATCCAAATTCGACCTTCTTTTTGCTACGGGTGCGTAATTACGATGTGGATCTAATGCTTCAATCAAAAAAGAAATCGGAGCTCGTTTGTTCAATATGATATCATGTATGCTTGAGAAACGGCATCGAAACATAAGAAAAATGAGCGCAACACAACCCAAACCTATCCGAAACTCACCCGAGGCCCTCGGGACCTCAACCAATAATTCCAACAAGTCATATATCACTACCCGAACATAGTCGAACCTCCGGAACACCTAAAACAACACCAAAATACCAAATCAACCTCGAATTCAAGCCTAAGAACTTCTAAACTTTCAACTTTCGCCAATTAAAGCCTAATTCTACCACGGACCTTCAAATTACATTCTGGACACACTCCTAAGTCTAAAATCACCCAACGAATCTAATCGAATCATAAAAATCCAAATCTGAATTCGTTTACTCATAAGTCAACTTCCGGTTGACTTTTCTAACTTAGGGACTAAGTGATCATTTCACTCCAAAACCACTCCGAACCCAAACTTACCAACTCGATACAACTCAACACAACTGAACAACACATAAATAAGCAAAGATGGGGGAAATGGGGGCTATAACTCTCAGAACGAACGATCGGGTCATTACATCCTCCTCTTTTAAACAAACGTTCATCCTCGAACGTGCCCAGAATTATTCCAAAAGCCATCGCATCGCTGTATCACCTCAAGCAAATCCTTCTCGTCACATTCAAATCATATGAACTCATCTCGCGGTCACATCATACTCATCACATATCCATCCAGCCACCATTTCCACTAATAGGGACACTACCGGACATATAAGTCCACAAGCACGCGCTCACACAATCAACAACTTAGTGCTCAAGCTACAGTCAAACCCGGTCTCAAGTCCTCTAGATTGGCCCAACATCAACACACAGAAATCACCTCTCACACCTCATCCAGGGAATCATAAGCCGTCTTTGCACAATTGCTACCGAGCGCTCATGTGCGCATATGAATGTATGGAAGGAATTCAAAGAGTTACACTTCAAGCTGAATCAATATCGCACGATAATTTCAAGAAGGTGAAGTTTTCCTAAAGGTTCTGCAGCTTCTCGAAGTTAAAAACGTCTCCGTACCGATCCGCAAGACTTTACTAAACCCGCTTATGACTTGTGAGACTATGTAACCTAGGCTCTGATACCAACTTGTTACGACCCAAAACCTAACCATGGTCGTGATGGCGCCTATCGTGTTACAAGCCAAGCCTATTTCCCAAAATATTACTACTAATTTGATTATAAGAATTTAATAAAACATTTCAACATTTAAATTTTTCATAAACTAAATCAACTCTAAATATAATATAGAAAAATACGGAAACGAGCCCCAAAAATCGGAGTGTCACTAAGTCATGAGCGTCTAAAAGTATAAACTAAGATATATAAACTGTCTAACTATCCAAAAGAAAAAATGACAAGAGGAGTAACAAGGTCATGCGGGCACACGCAGCTACCTTGCAATCTCCACAAATAGTCGGCCTGAACTCAACGATCGCCGCGCTCTAACTCACTTGTATCTGCACATAAAGTACAGGGTGTAATATGAGTATAATTACCTCAATAATAACAGAAATAACTAAGGAACTGAGCAGTAGTGACGAGCTAAGCAAAACAGTCCAATTATTTATTTTCCACAATATTAAAAATAACAGGAATAAATAAGTAAATTCAATAACTCAGTAAATGCCACAAAGAAATTTAACAGATAAATGCAGCAACAACAAAAATAAATGCAACCTCATAGCAATGTCACTCCATCACACATCACTCGCACTCAGCACTCAACACTAAACACTCAATACACTCAACACTCTGCGCTCACTGGGGGTGTGTACAGACTCCGGAGGGGCTCCCAAATCCCAAGCGCTAAGCACGGACAACTCACGTGCCATCATATCAATACCTGGATCCTCACGGTCAACTCACGTGCTACGCGGACAACTCACACTCTATGGTATCAATACGTGAACATGCACGGTCAGCTCACGTGCTACGCGGATAGCTCACGCGCTATAGTATTAATATCCTCACAACCAGGCCCTCAGCCTCACTCAATCATGTACCGCACGGACAACTCACGTGCCATTATATCAATACCTGAATCGTACGGTCAACTCACGTGCTATGCGGACAACTCACGCGCTATGATATTAATATCCTCACAACCAGGCCCTCGACCTCACTCAGTCATGTACCTCTCCAGCCTCACAATGTACCACCAATAAGGGGACACAACCCACATCAAGTATCACAACATATCAGCAAAATAATAGAGACTGAGGTAAACATGTACAATAATTTTTATGACTGAGTATAAATAATGTGAGCATTAATAAAGCGTAAGAATGATCTCTAACATGAAGGTAGACAAGTTCAACAACAAGTAACTACGTAAACATAGATGACGGCCATGAGGCCTCACGGGACGGACCAAGTCTCCATCCCTCGAGGTATACACCCACATATCCGTCACCTAGCGTGGGTATCACCTCCAAACAGTCACACGATATCAAATTCTCCAGGTTTATACCCTCAAAGCCAGAGTTAAAATTATTGCTTACCTCAACCGCATAAAATCCTACTCCGGGATGCCCTCGTCTCTAGAATCGGTCTCCAAAAGCGCCGAATCTAACCATAATCTGATTAATACCATCACCATGTGCTAAAGAATCGAATTCCACAATAAAAAAATGCCAAAAATCTAAAATCGGCATAAATTCGGTCCCCGAGCCCATGTCTCGGAATCAGTCAAAAATAGCTGAATCATAAACCTCGTTCTCTCCCGAGTCTAACCATATAAAATTTATCAAAATCGGACTCTGTTTGGTCCCTCAAATTCTCACTTAAAACTCTCCAAAACTCAAACCCTAACTCCCTCAATTTCACTTTGAAATCACCAATCAAATCCCAAAAACGATGATGGATTCATGAAATATAACCAAAACCAAGAAGATAACACTTACCCCAATCCATATGGTGAAAATCGCCTCCAAAAACGCCCAAATC